CACCTTCCTTTTCTAACAGAAAGCTAAAGGCAGGGTTAGGCTTATCCTCAGCCACAAAGTCTGCCAGCTGGGCCTTTTCTCCAGTTGAGCCACATTTTGGTACCTGTAGGTGTAGGTCAGTCGGGCGACACTCCCAGAATGAAGAACTATGGACTTTGTATTCCAAAAAAGTCCAAACAATACTTCTCTGATAACTTTTTTCCATTTTAGATCTTTGGCAGATATCTTTAATGCTACTGCACAACTCACTTGTTCTACTGTTGCTCTGTCTGATTTATCTTTTACACGGTACCTAGTAGAAATAAAATAATTCTATTAGCACATGTGATTCATTATATATCACAATGATATGAATAGGCCTGAAAAAAATTATCAAACATTCTTAAGGAATAGTTAACAGCAACAAATTCACGTAGGCATTTTGACCAGAAAACACCAACAAAACAATTGAATGTCATTAATCTCAGCACTGCAATTCAACAGATTTTCATCTGCATCCTAAACTTTTCTGGTGACTTACAAAATCACTCTCTCACACACAAAAACCATGGGCAAGTTTGCCAATACCTCACTAGGAGAGACTGTGAAATGAACTGCGTTATTTCAAAACAAAATTGGGAATAACTTGATTTTCAGAGCTAATCCATATCTTCACCTTTAGAAGCAGGCACTACAGTTGTCAGATCTTTTCCGCACTTGAGTCCTGGTGACAGTCTTCTCTCATAAATAATCATTGCTTATTTTAAAAAACTGGGGGACACAGTGGAAGATTTGGGCTGAAAAGACTGCACATCTGATGACATGGAAGCCTCCCTTGGAAGGCCATTCCACATGGATGGGGCCATCCACTCAACTGCAGAAGACAAGGAATCTCAGATGTCAGATCTTTTCCGCACTTGAGTCCTGGTGACAGTCTTCTCTCATAAATAATCATTGCTTATTTTAAAAAACTGGGGGACACAGTGGAAGATTTGGGCTGAAAAGACTGCACATCTGATGACATGGAAGCCTCCCTTGGAAGGCCATTCCACATGGATGGGGCCATCCACTCAACTGCAGAAGACAAGGAATCTCAGAGGTGGGTTTCTAATGGCAAAAATAAAAATCAGTCTATAAGAACTGCTGTCAGTGAAATGTACAAGTGATGCATGACTGACACAAAGTGTTGTGTCACCCTAAGACAGACTGCACATGTATCTGGAAGTAAGGCCCACTGATCGCACGGGTCATAATTCACTGAGGAGTGTTTTGCATATCTGTGCTTTTGCTCTGGAGACCATCTTGGACAGAGATGGAAATCTGAAACATCACAATACTATGGTGACTTATCAGCAACTAGGATGGGTTTCCTGGAAATAAGGGACACATTTTAAATAAATTATTTAATTAAGACATGTGAAATCTTTGGCTCGCAGATATCTGGCCTCCAATTCCCATCTGCTTTGGTCACCCAATGACACAGAATTGTGTGTGGTGTTATCTAAGACATCCGAAGGGGCCCAGGCTGACCACCACTGGTAGTTCACTACAACTGCAATACTAAACACAACTTATCTGGAGTTAAGTCCCACTGAACTCAGGAGGCTTACTTGCAAGTAGGAAAGAAATACCGTATTTTTCCATGTATAAGATGCCCCCATGTAGAAAACGCCCACCCACTTTTCTTACTCAAAATTAAGAAATCTAAGCAGGGCTTAGCAAGTAGTGGGGGAAAGGGATCAAAGTGCTGCAGGATTGCTTTGATCCCTGCTTTCCCCTCCACTTGCTAAACCCCATGGAGTTTAGCAAAAGGAGGGAGAAAAGGATCAAAGCAATCTCACGGCTTAACAATTGCTTTGACCCTTTTTCCTGTTGTGCAGCCGCGGGATTGCTTTGATCCCTTTCCCCCTCCTTTTGCTAAGTCCTGTAGGGTTATATACTTCTGTGTATAAGACAACCCTCAATTTTTAGTCTAAAGATTTTAGACAAAAGTGGCATCTTATAAACGGAAAAATACAGTACCTAGGACTACACTGTTAATGTTAGAGAATATGACATTTCTACTTAAAGTGTTTTTAAATTATTTTATCACAACTGTTTTCTTTTAAGGTACAACATAAAACTTTATGAATCTAACTTAACAATAAACAAGTTATATGTAACATTTATTACTGTAAATCCATAATACTTACAAATCTGCTTCTTTTTGTCTGGACTTCTCTGTGACTCTATTTATGACAGAATCATCAAAACGTAACTTGTCTAGAAAACACAAACATACACATTAAGAATGAATGAAAGCCAAATGCTCTTCCTCCGTGCTCAACCCCCAATTTAAAACTAACTCTATGGAGCCAGAAAAAACATACCTGTCATTCACATAAAAATAAAATTACAGATATTGCCATATTTGGAAGATAAAGTTGTAACTCTGAATAGGGGTGGACAGAAGCAGTCCTGAAACTCATAATTAGTTTCAGCCCTACAATACTGGTGCGGTCTGAATAATTATAGGGAGAACTCGGCCACATGGCCAAGTCTTGTAGACTCATCCATATGTCTTTGCTATCTACAACTGACAAGGAGTGGAGGCTAAAATATCCAAAGAAAACACTATGGAAGGCTAGCTCAGACACAGGTCGAAAAATTTTGGCTCTCCAGAAGTTGTGGGTTACACGCACATACACACAAAAAACCTCAGCTAGCATGACCAGTGGGAAGGGATTGAGAGAGCTGTAGCTCAAAACACGGGAAATACCAGAGCTATCCCACTTCCCCTCCCTAGTTTAGAGACACTCGCAGTAGTACACACAGAGAGAAAAATAACTGTGGTCTACAGAAGGAAAAGGTGGTGTATCAGAGGTTGCAGGAGAAAAAAAGAGGCAAAATAGCAGCTGACAGAACTGGTTGTGAAAAGTTAAATTTGATGAAATCATTATGGCTAGAAAGGTTTTACAGACTAGCCTGACTTACAAGGTGCTTATGCGTGCCAAGTAGCCCCATGAAATGTAAAGCAGGAGAAGGAAAAATAGATATTGACCTCCTCTTGTTGCTCATGAGCACAACCAGGTCTTCGTGGTGAAGACAGACAACAGTGTTTTCAGAAATTCCTTTCTAAATTTATGCCAATGCACTCCCAAGATATGTTCCACACACATGAAGTCACTGACTTCAACCTATTAAGAGACAATTGTGTGAAATTGGTCCTTAGTGAATTCTATCCACAGAAAAAGATGAGAAGCATCCCTCTTACCTAGATTGATTTTATGCTCAAACTTTCGCAGGGCCTTATCTGTAGGAGTGGAGATCTTGGCAGTATTGCAACTGGGTACCTGTTTATTCGCCTGAAAGAAACAGTTTGTAATATATTTGAACCTCCACCCAAAACAATTTCAAAGATACACATCAGTTTGGGCGCACATCCTGCCTGCAACAACAGACAAACAATTCAGATTGCGTGATTGTACTCCGAACCCATTCCTTCTTTTCTGCAAATCTGATTTCCAACCTCTGAAAAACAGTTCTTTGTCTATGTAGACAAGTTCTGAGGTAAACCTTAACTAGAGTTAAGCCGCAACAGGAATTTCCATTAGAGGAGGGGGAGTATATAATTTGTGCAGTCCATTCAGGTTTCAGACTGATAAAAAAGGGCACCTCCTCATAGAGTCAGAACTCTGTGCTCTGTGTTCTGACTCCTATCCTTTGAAGATGCCGGCCACAGAGACTGGTGAAATGTTAGGAAGAAAAACCTTAAGAACACGGCCAAACAGCCCGGAAAATCCACAACAACCATCGGATCCCGGCCGTGAAAGCCTTCGAGAATACATTGATGTATAAAGCTAAAACAGTCCAGTCAACTTGGAAGGTATGGGGCACCAGACATCAAAACATGGCAAAACTGCCCCCCCCTTTGATGACATAAAAACGTTTGAACTTTTTTGAAAAAAATTAATGTAGAGGTCAGTGCACTGAGAGGTCCCTGAGGACATGTGCTGTCTATGGATATATGTTGCCCACCATAGATTTGGTGCCATGTGCAGGAACAAAAAGGAGCCCAAGCAAATGCCTCTGGCATGTGTGCTCCTATGCATTCTTCTTCTTTCTTGCAGTCAAAGGAAGGAACAGAACAGGACTCAGTTTCATTTTGCCTAGTTGTTCCATGAGAATCAGGAACAATAATTTAAAATAAATTCTTATTAGTTGCTGAACAAGCCAATTACGAAGTCTGGATTGGTGACTTGGCTGATTTAATTAGGATTAATTTTAAAGTATTATTCCTGGCTTTCATGCAACAACAAGCCATGAGTTGGCTAAAATGAAATGGAATAATGATTTACTCCTGTTCCTGACCTAATGGGAATAAGAAAAAGCAATGCATGAGCCTGGCATTCGGCATGAATGCAGCTACTGATGTAACACATTTTAAGGAGTGCTGGACACAAATTACTGCTAGAAGAGCTCATCAACAGAACAGGACTCAGTTTCATTTTACCTAGTTGTTCCATGAGGATCAGGAACAATAATTTAAAATAATTTGGACACAAATTACTGCTAGAAGAGCTCATAACAAAATAAAGCTGGTGTCCTTCAAGATGTCACAGCACTCTTCTACTGCTTGAGACAAAATGAGGTTCTTGGGCATTCAAGGGATGGGCTCCACCAGTGGGTTCTGGTGGCCTCTGGGAAAAAAATGTTTCAAGGCTTCTAATTAACTGCACACACCCCTTCCCAAACACACAGGTGGCAGCTAAATCCATGGCCACATAAACTCACTTAAAAGCAACAGCCACAGAACTAAGCCCTCCAACGACACATTCCTTAAACAGCATACAGTACCTGTGAGTTGCTTCCTCCAGATACCAGATTCCTCTTTGTCACCTTTCCTGTGTCATCATCCCAATCCCAGTCATCATCATCATCATCATAATCTTCTTCTTCTTCATTATCATCATCATCATGCTCGTCAACTTCATTCCCATTGGCTTCCTCATGTAACTGTGGCTGCTGCATTTTAAGGGTCACTGTCTCCTCATGAGATGTTGTAACGTATCCATGTCCGCTGATTTTTAAAACCACACATTTTAGCAAAATCTTCATGGACTCATATAGAAAATCAGTAAGCATGAAATATAATACTGTGAGTTCCTTCCTTAACATTCTTTCCAAAAATCTTGTCATCTCCAGGAAATGGCCAAAAATACTGAGGATCCTCGTCTTTATCCTCAGCTGGCACTTCTAGGAGCTACTTGAGTCCCAGCCAGCAATTGAAAGGGCAAGCTGGCAGACCTGCAGAGAACTGTGGGGCTTAATCCTGCAGCAAGACATCATAGACAAGACCCTGTATGTTCCTTTTGGTGTGGGTGACATTATAAATGCGGTCTGGTCTCACTATGAGGGCAGCTTCTCTCATCTCCCTTTATTAAATATTCTTTAGAACATTTTTAGCTAATTTATTTGCCAGATATTCTCTGGGAGGAATCCAAGAGGAGGAACTGGGAACATAAGCCCAAATATCTCTCACAGTCTGGCCTTCAGTTCCACAAAAAGTAGAGCTGTTCCTATAAAACTGCCTTTCTGAAGGTGATATAAGAACTTCCTACATCTGAAGAGTACCATCAACAAACTCAAACCACTGGATTCTTAACAACATGTATAGGACTCATATAGCTTTCCAAAGCCATTTCTACAGACTATCCTCCATTTTCTGAATTGTCATAAAAGGCTGAGGGGGCGGGGGGAGGAGATTTAAACCTCCGGAAGATGACATTCTTGCATAAAATAAGAAACACCCTTTCCTAGCCTAGTACACTGGTGCCTCGCTTAGCGATTGCCTCATTTAGCGATGTAGTCGCTTAGCGATTAGGTTTTTGGAGCGATTTTGTGCTCCGTTTAGTGATGTTCCCTATGGGGAAATTTCGCACAGCGATGTTCGGGACCTTGCCTCACTTAGCGATGACAGTTTAGGTCCCCCTATTTCGCTTAACGATGTCCATTTTTGCTATTTTTAAAGTGTCTTGAAATGTTCAAAAACTGTTTTAAATGCTTGGAATCGTTAGTGCACCTTGTAAAACCTTTGCAAACTTAATTTGGCTTTGTTCTGACTCTTCGTTAATTTTTGGTGAATTCCCCCCCCCCATTGGAATGCATTGAACTGTAGATTTGACATTTTAAATCAAAGAAAGTTTATTTTAAAAATCAGAAATGATGTTGACAATTCTAGTTTCACCAGGAGGGACTGCTGTGACCAGTAGGGATCCAGGAGGTGGGTGAGAAATGACCCCCACCCACTCTCTGCAATTGCCTGCCCCACAGCAAAGAGATGTCTGAGCCTGGTCCCTGACAATTCAGAGCAGGAATTAAGACAAACATTGGACGGCCCTTTAGCTCTTTAGTCACCATAACTCTTTGAAAACATCAATGTGGAATGATGACTAAATTTAAATCAATAAAAAGTGAGCGACTGAAGCTGTGTGGCATTGTGGGAGAGGTCTATTCTTTCAATTATAGGGCAGCTGTACCATGTCCGATGTTTCCTGTCTACAGCTTTCCAAATCCCTTACAACTGACTAGGCTGATAAGACCCATAGGCCAACCACATCTGGAAGGTCAAACGTTACCCATCTCTGAATTAAGTGATTTGAAGACCACCTAACCCATTCACTTCTTCCTTACCTTTCTGAAGCTTCTGCATCATCAAATTGTCCTGGAACTATCTGGCTCATAATTTCTCCTCTGTAATCCATTATTACTGGTAAATGGTCTCCAAGGTGTACAATCTGTGATGTATTCAATGTTTCCTGTAAAGTATATTTGTAGGTGTCACAATACAATGCCATATCATATATTCTGTGTTAAGGTGGGATTCTGGGTTACACAGGCTGTGGAAGTTACACTTCTCACAATGATAATTAAGCTGGCTGGATGCCTTACACCTATAATGCCACCTGGGAGTTAAATGCACATATAGCACTACATCTGCACATAACACAATTTTCCATATAGATCAGAAAAGGACAAAATGCATCCCCTCCAGATGTCACTGGACCATGACATCCATCAGCCCATGGTAGTATTGCCAATGGCAATGAACTCTGGGTTCTGTGAAATCTGAGTATTTTTTTAAAAAACTAGCCTGATACTGGTTTTCCAGGATAAAAGCCAATGAGAAGATCTGTTGGGGGCACTGTCTGGAGATCTCATGACACTGAAATGATGAAAATAATTATTGCTCCTTAAAATTAGTGTCATTGTATCACTACTGGTTAAGTAAACTGTCTTCAGTTTAGCATAAAAAATAAATTTCAAAATGACTGAAGTATCCATTTTTAAAACATTGATGCTTTACAAATACTACTGTACTATTGTTTGACAACAACTGAGCTATCAATTAACAAATCTTTTTAAAGTGGTCATATGGGCAGTCCATACAACCACTTTTAAAGTGGTTAAAAGAAGGCTAATAGAGTTTTGTCAAGAGAACAACCTGGTCATCACAAACACTCTTTTCCAACAACACAAGAGGCAATGCTACACATGAATATCACCAGATGGGCAATACCGAAATCAAATTGATTATGTTCTCTGCAGACAAAGATGGAGAAGCTTTATACAGTCAGCAAAAACAAGACCTGGAGCTGATTGTGGCTCTGATCATCAGCTTCTTATAGCAAAATTCAAGCTTAAACTGAAGAGAGTAGGAAAAACCACTAGGTTGGTCAGGTATAATCTAAACCACATCCCTTATAAATACACAGTGGAAGTGAAGAACAGATTTAAGGAACTAGATTTGGTGGACAGAGTGCCTGAAGAACTTTGGACAGAGGCTCGTAACATTGTACAGGAGGCAGCACCAAAAACCATCCCAAAGAAAAAGAAATGCAAGAAAGCAAAGTGGCTGTCCAACGAGGCCTTACAAATAGCAGAGAAGAGAAGGGAAACAAAATGCAAGGGAGACAGGGAAAGTTACAGAAAATTAAATGCAGACTTCCAAAGAATAGCAAGGAGAGACAAGAGGGCCTTCTTAAATGAACCATGCAAAGATATAGAGGAGAAGAGTAGAAAGGGAAAAACCAGAGATCTGTTCAAGAAAATTAAAGACATTAAAGGAACATTTTGTGCAAAGATGGACATGATAAAGGACAAAAATGTTAGGGACCTAACAGAAGCAGAAGACATCAAGAAAAGGTGGCAAGAATACACAGAGGAATTATATTAGAAAGATCTGGATGTCCCAGACAACCCAGAGTGTGTGGTTGCTGACCTTGAGCCAGACATCCTGGAGAGTGAAGTCAAGTGGTCCTTAGAAAGCTTGGCTAACAAGACCAGTGGAGGTGATAGCGTACCAGTTGAACTATTTAAAATCTTAAAAGATGATGCTGTTAAGATACTACACTCAATATGCCAGCAAATTTTGAAAACTCAGCAGTGGCCAGATGATTGGAAAAGATCAGTCTACATCCCAATCCCAAAGAAGGGCAGTGCCAAAGAATGTTCCAACTACCATACAATTGCACTCATTTCACACACTAGCAAGGATATGCTCAAAATCCTACAAAGTAGGCTTCAGCAGTATGTGGACTGACAACTCCCAGAAATACAAGCTGGATTTTGAAAGGGCAGAGGAACTAGAGACCAAATTGCTAACATGCGCTGGTTTATGGAGAAAGCCAGAGAGTTCTAGAAAAATATCTACTTCATTGACTACGCAAAAGCCTTTGACTGTGTGGACCACAGCAAACTATGGCAAGTTCTTAAAGAAATGGGAGTGCCTGACCACCTTATCTATCTTCTGAGAAATCTATACGTGGGACAGGAAGCAACAATTAGAACTGGATATGGAACAACTGATTGGTTCAAAATTGGGAAAGAAGTACAACAAGGCTGTATATTGTCTCCCTGCTTATTTAAATTATATGCAGAACACATCATGCAAAAGGCTGATCTGGAAGAATCCCAAGCCGGAATCATGATTGCCGGAAGAAATATCAACAACCTCCAATATGCAGATGATACCACTCTGATGGCAGAAAGTGAAGAGGACTTAAAGAACCTCTTAGTGAGGGTGAAAGAGGAGAGCGCAAAAATGGTCTGAAACTCAACATCAAAAAAACTAAGATCATGGCCACTGGTCCCATCACCTCCTGGCAAATATAACGGGAAGAGATGGAGCCAGTAACAGATTTTACTTTCTTGGATTCTATGATCACTGCAGATGGTGACACCAGACACAAAATTAAAAGACGCTTGCTTCTTGGGAGGAAAGTAATGACAAACCTAGACAGCATCTTAAAAAGCAGAGACATCTCCTTGCCAACAAAGGTCCGCATAGTCAAAGCTATGGTTTTTGCAGCAGTGATGTATGGAAGTGAGAGCTGGACTATAAAGAAGGCTGATCGTCGAAGAATTGATACTTTTGTATTGATGAGACTCTTGAGGACGAGATGGATGAACAGTGTCATTGAAGCTACGAACATGACTTTGACCAAACTCTGAGAGGCAGTGGAAGACAGGAGGGCCTGGCATGCTCCGGTCCATGGGGTCCGAAAGAGTCGGGCACAACTTAACAACTGAACAACAACAACAATGGGCAATCCCAAAGTTCATTAGCATAAGGAATCAACTCTTTATAATTCATAGTCTTGAAAAGGGGGGCAACAATAATTTCAATTTAACATAGCATTTCAGGCTGCTTCTTTCCACAACACAAATATTACCTTGCCGTAAATCATCACACATATTCATAAGTACCTATATCATAATAACCTGATTAAGGCATAATATCCACATTAGGCAAACTATGAAATGCATAAGATTCTGTATAGCTTTCTGGCCTTGCCGAAATACAGTAATACCTTTACTGTCATGTACTTCTCCAGTACAGGGCTTGCTATATACATTTCCCATTATTATATATATTTACCCATTGCTGCTTGTATGGGCAAACAGCCCTTCTAAGGGGGTTTACACATAAACCTAAAACATAAAAGACTACCAGCAATAATTTCACCACACAATATTAAAACAGCAGCTTACAACTCTTTCCAAGTCAACATATAAACACCCACCAAAATAATTTTGCAACAGAATAACGGTAGCAAACAGCAATGTAGCCAAAAAAGCTATTTTGCACACTTCCCCGAATGCCCCAGATAGCCTGATGCTGACGGTACGGGCTAGCGGATTCTGGGACATGTAGTCCAAAAAAGATCTCTTATTTTCCTCCCCCCCACAACACGGGACATGCGGCTTTAAATAGCAGCTTTAAGTGGTTTTCAGTGCAACTAAAGCCGCTGTTCGCCAATTTTTTTTATTAAACGCAGACCGATTCGACGGCCGACAAGGCGCTTTTCGGGCTCCGCGAAGGGCTCCAGCTTACCTGCTCCCGGCTTCCCACCCACGAGGCGCAAGCAAGCTCCTTCCTGGACAAGCGTGGCAAACGACGTCATACGGCTCCCGAGAAGGGTCATGGGAAGCGGCCTCGAAAGCGCGTTCCTTAAAGGCTGCCTCGACTACTTGGCGGTGACCCCGCATTCACTCAGGGCTGTAACGTGGGGCAGACTCCACCAAGGAATGCTCGCCCGATGAAGTTCGGCCTCTGCGCTGCCGATTGACCGCGTGGGTCTTTTTTGTTTTTACTCCGACTCAAGTCTCTGCAGGGGTGGGCAAGACGACCTCCCTCTGCTGGATGAGACTGGATTCTTCAACGCTACTTCTGCCCGAGTCCCTATACTGTGTATATTGTCCTGATCTAATAAAATAATCCCGCCCCCCCCAGGTAGAGAATACTCAGAAGTTGTTTACCATTCCCTTCTTCTCCGGGCGACTTGGGACTGTGCATTTCTAGCCTTACCTTTCTCATTTCTTGCGGTAAACTCAGAACAACAGTTCGCAAAACAACGCAAAGTGTGGTCTTCCGCTAGGTACCTACTGCGCTAAAGCAGTGTGATATCACTTTAACTCATCCAGGAGAGTTCTGGGATTTGTAGTTTGAGGTAGCATTCTCTCAGCTGGTTGTAATGCATTTCACAGGCAATACTAGAGTACTGTACTGTACTAACAGGATTCCGTAGAATGGAGTTTGTAACAGTGGTAAACAAACTGGTATCATTATGCAATGAAGGGGCAGTAATGACGTAAAGGTAACACTTTTACATGAGGAGGAATACCTCTCATTTTAATTCAGAGAAGAAGGTGTTATATCTGAAGTTTGACAAGTCATTTTAAACTTCTGTTATGGTCTCCAGTTCAGATTTTTTTTTTAAGTAATTAGATATGTACCTGAATTCTCTTGGGACATGTGCTTAGCCTTTACAGGAAGCATGTCCTAACTTCATTCATTCATTCATTCATTCATTCATTCATTCATCTTCTGTAGCGCCCATCTGGCTACTAGGCTACTCTGGGCGATTTACCTGCTAGACAACTTGTCATTTGGTTGGTACTGGGATTTTCATTCTGATGAATGATGACATGATTCTTAACTTCTAGATGGTCCTATTTGAAGGGAAGAACTATTCATTGCAGATACCAGTTTGTTTGTTTTTTAAATTAGGATCATACCCTCAACTTCAATTAGTTTCAAATCTCTACAATTCTGTACAGAAAAATCAAGAAGTCATAGGAAACAACCAGTTCAAGTTTTTGGTATATTTTATGCAATGGCAATGACCCTCTAGAGTTCCACATCGGTAATCTTTACGTAAATAAGATAATATAGAATCGCACCCAGTCTACATAACCAAACACTCAACCACGTCTCAGAATTAAGCATTCTGCTTTTATAGTTCCGTCTTGACCTGAGCGCCTTGAAAACAAGGTGAGCTGGGAAGCCACTGAGTTTGGAAATACAGGGAAATTTGTTGGGAATCATGACAAGTGGTAGATAATTTTGCTAAGTGATGGTCTGTTGTAAAACAAATACCACCTCTGAATTTCCAACAACTAAACTCTCAGCTGAATTCTCACCAATCTTTACAACCTCTAGAGGGAGGTACAGCTTCATACTTGACTCTCAAAAACAATACTGTGTAAGGACCTTAAATGGCTTATTAAAATTGTATATTTAGATTGCATATTAAAAATGTCTAAAAATTACTAGAGTTGGAGAGCAAAATTTTAAGTTGTTCTAAAATAGTTTGTTCATCACACTAATAACATTAGTGCTTTATTCCAGTATGCTATTTAAAATGAGGAAAATATGTCCCTGTATGTCCCTTGTGGTGCTGGAAGAGGCTCTTGAGTGTCCCCTGGACTGCGAGGAGAACAAACCTATCTATTTTGAAGGAAATCAAGCCTGCGTGCTCACTGGAAGGACAGATCCTGAAGCTGAGGCTCCAATACTTTAGCCATTTCATGAGAAGAGAAGACTCCCTGGAAAAGACGCTGATGTTGGGAAAATGTGAAGGCAAGAGGAGAAGGGGACGACAGAGGACGAGATGGCTGGACAGTGTCATCAAAGCGACCAACATGAATTTGACCCAACTCTGGGAGGCAGTGGAAGACAGGCGGGCCTGGTGTGCTCTGGTCCATGGGGTCACGAAGAGTCGGACATGACTAAACGACTAAACAATAACATGTCCAGAGGAACATAATCTCTACCATATATTTTCAGGACTATAGCATTACTGTTTTATTGTTTTGTGAAACTTATTTCTATGGTCCCTAGACCATATTTAATTGAACAGTGATCCTATAAAATCACTGCTGTGTGTTTTGTAGTAAGTAGACCCCAGAACTACAGTACTTCCCAAGTCACAACCTTTTCTGTGTCACTTTGATTCCTGCTTTGAGACCTTTTGCACCTTGGAAAGCAGTTTTGGGGACCATTTGGTTTGGGGACCATTTGGTTCTGAATGCAAAGCATCCGTTTTAAATTATTGTCGAATGGGCGGGGGGGATTGAAATAGCAAAAGACTTTGCATTATTTGGCTACATGTTGCCTGTTAATTCTGAAATTATTTGATAGTTGTCTCAAGCTCAATCCTCAATTGCAGGATTGCCAGGTTCTATGCTCTATGACTTTCGATTCCCTGAGATTTTTAGCATCCCAGTCCCTGAGACTTCAAGATCAAAACTTGAGACTATAAGGCAGATCCTTGTGATGCCAGAAGGATAGCATAGGCAGTGTTTGGCAGGAGAGTGGAAATATTGAATGGGTCAGCTGATTGTGGCAACAGGCATGGAGGAATTTGAGTACACACACAGACACACACACACACACACAGACACACACACACACACAGACACAGACACAGACACAGACACAGACACACACACACACACACACACACACACACAGAAAGACAGGGGGTACTGTATATGTATGTATATTCAAGGTGGCAAAATGTACTCAGAACGTGTGTGCAAGGATTACTCCATTCCTGCTAGGACTTAGTCCTTGTGGGCATTACCTACAGCCACAATCTGACACATGGTGAATTTTTAAAGGCCTCAGACTGCTGACACTCTGCCAGCCAACAGGGAATTTTGTCCCAAAGTGTTGTGCTACTGTTCCTGAGGCTTGCACAATACAATAACTCATAGGTTGTGATGCCAGTGAGCCTCATGCATCATGATGCACCACTTCATGCCTTGGATGTAGGCCCTCTCCTTCCTGCCTTGTATATATATGTATATTTAAGGTGGCAAAATGTACTCAGAATGTGTGTGCAAGGATTCCTGCTAGGACTTGCCCCTTGTGGGCATTACCTACAACCACAATCTGACACATGGTGAATTTTTTAAAGGCCTCAGACTGCTGACACTTGTGAAAGACCCTCTGCCAGCCAACAGGGAATTTTGTCCCAAAGTGTTGTGCTACTGTTCCTGAGGCTTGCACAATAAGAAGCCTCATAGGTTGTGATGCCAGTGAGCCTCATGCATCATGATGCACCACTTCATGCCTTGGATGTAGGCCCTCTCCTTCCTGCCTTGCTCCAAATAACATGATGGACTCAAGTGTGTGCGTTCATTCTGTTTCCTCAGTCTCTTCCTTTCACTCCTGGCCTTTCAGTGCCCTGCCATTGCTCTAGGACAGTACAAATAAGGAGGTCTTTGCCAGCTGGGAATGTGTTAACATGCATCATGATGCACCACTTCATGCCTTGGATGTAGGCCCTCTCCTTCCTGCCTTGCTCCAAATAACATGATGGACTCAAGTGTGTGCGTTCATTCTGTTTCCTCAGTCTCTTCCTTTCACTCCTGGCCTTTCAGTGCCCTGCCATTGCTCTAGGACAGTACAAATAAGGAGGTCTTTGCCAGCTGGGAATGTGTTAAGATGGATGCCTTCAGTCTCTTCCTTTCACTACTGTCCCGCCATTGCTCTAGGACAGTACAGATAAAGAGGTCTTTGCCAGCTGGGAATGTGTTAAGATGGATGCCAGACTTTAAAGCGATCTCATAGATAACCATCTAATGTTGTCCTCCTTCAGTGCTGCTCTCCTTGAAGTTTCTCTCCCCATCAAGAAACCAGATGAAGTAGAGCACTTCAGCTGAAGTCCCAAAACACGGCAGCCCCTGTGTTGAATTGCATGTCTCAAAAGTCCTAGTTAGAATAGCTCACAGTGAGGCAGATGGATGCCAGACTTTAAAGCGATCTCATAGATAACCATCTAATGTTGTCCTCCTTCAGTGCTGCTCTCCTTGAAGTTTCTCTCCCCATCAAGAAACCAGATGAAGTAGAGCACTTCAGCTGAAGTCCCAAAACACGGCAGCCCCTGTGTTGAATTGCATGTCTCAAAAGTCCTAGTTAGAATAGCTCACAGTGAGGCTATTCTAGTACTGAAGTTTCTTTCCCCATCGAGAAACCGGATGAAGTAGAGCACTTCAGCTGGAGTCCCAAAACACGGCAGCCCCCGTGTGAACTGCACGTCCCAAATGTCCTAGTTAGAATAGCTCACAGTGAGGCTATTCTAGTAAGAGTGGCCGTCCAACAACCTCTGCAGGGCCACCCATTTCCGATTTGTGGTCTAGAGATGGGATGCAAGAGACACAGACTGCCGGTCCCTTCTCTGAAGCCGGTGCCCTGAGGCATCACAACGAACTGCAGCTGCTCAGCCGCCTGCTGCCCCTTTCCTTTTCTCATGTCCTTGACACCTTTCTTTGCTGCAGCCTGTGAAGTGCTTAAGTAAACAACTGCCTCCAGCTCAGGGCTGAATGGTTTTGGGGTCCTTGGAGCCAACAAGGTGACTTCTGGCTTAGTTCTATCTGAAAGTCTGGGGTCTCAACTCAAATAAAGTGGGTTGGGATACATTGCACCTCTACTGATAGGTGCAAGAAATGCTAATTAGGTCTCAACTCAAATAATGTGGGTTGGGATACATTGCACCTCAACTAACAAACTCTACTGATAGGTGCAAGAAATGCTAATTTAAGAAGCAGATAACAATTAATGAGAACTGTTGAAATACTTATCATATTTAATATAGACTATCCTCTTGAATTGTCGTATCTGGCAGAATCATAGATGGTTCAAATAGTTAATGAGAACTGTTGAAATACTTATCATATTTAATATAGACTATCCTCTTGAATTGTCGTATCTGGCAGAATCATAGATGGTGCCATTATACATGCAGATACCTGTATCCCTCCACCCGGTACAACCTGATTCCCCTGCACACCCCACCA